TGAACTAGACACCAGCCCCCAATGGATTGCGGTTTTCATACACACACATACACACACACACACACACACACCGCCTTGAAGGTCAACCTTTGACTAACCGAAGGCTACGGTTATGAATTCCCCAAGGAAATTAACCTGCATTGGTCTGGGTAACCTGGCAGTATTCGGCCCATATGCAAATGATGGAACGTTTTTTCCTTTCTTGAAGACTTTCGTACCGCTTATTCGACACACCGTCTGGCGTCAGACATGTGTGAAATATACAAGATATATCAACTTGATGGAGTCGTTCGCACAAGGTGAGGACCGTCGACCGAGTACCTAAAGGGTAAGAGATTGAAGTCCCAACCTGAAGGTCCGCGGTTCCAGTCCCGATAAGGACACAAAAAGTACGCACCGCTGAAAAGTGCCAAACAGGACGAAACAGCTGTACAGTGCTCTTTGTCGGTTAACAAAGATTTCCATCGCATTTAAATGGTGGGGAAATAACGATCTCCCAAAGAAACTCACACCCAAGATTATCAACGGTGCCGGGTGCCTGTGAAAAACCGAATAGGCAAATCAAAACATTCACCATCCAAGCTTAAATACTTTGGGGCGGTCGCTCGCTCAATACAAAATCAATAACAGGCAAACAAGCAAACAGGAAAACGTTAAGTTCAGTGAAAAAGTAAGCGAGATCGAATAAACTCCAAAACAACACCACGATTGCATTTATATCTTAAAGCGCTAGTGTACGAAAATGGTGACGAATCAGTTAGGATCCGGTTAATATATAAATACCGAAGAATTTGAAATGCAGAGTTCGGTCTATGGTGGTACCGACCTCCGCAGTTCTTGCAAGTTTTGTGAATAGATCACGATCTACGGTTAGGCGTGGGGTTTTAGGTAATTGCGGTCGTCCAGTGGAAGAGGTAGGCGAGCTCCATGGATTACGCTGGTTGGAACATGTGCTACGAATGTCACTAAATAGGTTGCCACGGCGAGTGATGCTTGCCGAGGCAGGTAGCGGTTGGAAAAAAAGGAAGGGTGGTCAAGCTAAGACCTGGCATGAGGGCATGCAAACCCTGAGCAGGAGACTGGTTCACATAGGTAGCGTTAGGCTCCCTGGCTGGAGACCCAGAGATCATAGTCATCGATGGTTAGAGACACTGCGCGACATGGCTGGGTGTCGCAAACAGTGGCGATCATGCATCTACTCATTATTCTTGTAGTTTCAGTTTATGAAAACGTGCTACCTTCCGCTTGAATTTGCTCTCAACACTCTAATCTTCATTCTGCCGTTTCATCTAAATGGGAAACCAAAAGACCGCAACCAAAACCGGCGCACGCAAGTGCATGGTTAATGGTTGTAAGAACTGAATACATTTTTCAGGATTTATGGATAAGCTGAAGAAGTTAAACCACTCCACAACTGATGGAAAGTGCCGTAGTGACTGATGATTCTGGGTGCTGAAATACAATGAGCAACCGATTACAATGTCCGTGCACTGAGAAGCGGAGATCGATGAGATGAGGGAAAAACCGTGCGTATACAAAGAAGATAGAAATGCTGAAAGGATAATACTCCTGCGTTGACTGGAAAGGGAGAAAATTTGACTACCGAAACAGGTGTATTGAACTTATCACGCAGTCAGTTGAACACTAACGGGGAAGTGATATGACGATATGATGTATGGAGCACGTTTGTCTACGAGAATGAAGCGCTTTGATAGTCAAAACAAACAGCAATTACGTCGTATCTAACCTCAATGACTGAGGAATAAGAATGGGTCAACATGTTAGCAATCGAGCATTTATTAGGCTAGGACATCCACATTCAAACACATTTTTTTATAATTACCGATGCCAAATAGTCACGCATCATAAATGTAAACGAAAACTGACGGAAAGCAGATGGAAAAATAGATAACGCGGGGGAATCAGCCCAAAACTCACAAGTTTTTTCCCCATTTCCTTAGCTGGAGAGCTGCTTACTAATCCAGATTCCAACGTCATTCCAACTGGCCAGCTCTTTCGAAAAAGCTCTGTGTTGCGATCCTCTACATTGGGCATTAAACCCGACTCGTTCATCTCACGAAAGCTCTTCCCGGTTACAACGGATTTGAGAGGAGTAACCTGAATAGAATGAAATAAGATTTCAAGGCAAACGATCGAAAGAAAACTGATTTTTTACACACTTTACTGTGGACAACAGTAAGTATGAATCTCAAAGTCACGAGGATCTGCTATTTAATTATGAAAACCATGGACTGCTTCTAGTTGTGGATTACCTGTAACATTTTTATGGTGGTTCCCTTTAACAGCTCAGCTTGCTTGTAGTACTTCGCGCATGGTGGGTTTTATGATTTCGCGCACAAACTTTTTTTCACTAAAACTCATCCTCTACTGTACAAAGTTCAAATTCGTCCGGCTCTTCAATACTGAACTCAAGTGCGAGGTGGGGCTTCCTTTTCTTCTCTTTTCATTCTTGATCGCGTTCAACGAGAAGTTATCCGGGTGATCGATGATCCTTCCCTAAAGTCCAGTCTGCCGTTATTAGCTCATTGTCGGGCAGTTATTTCATTATCCTTGCTCTATCGTTACTATGCTATTTTCCTCGTAAGTTCTTACTGTAACTTTTGTCCGCCCATCCCGAATCATCTTTATCCGATTTCAGTTCCCAGATGTCGAACTTCTT